GGTGATGGGTGATGGGTAGGTGGATGGGTGATGGGTAGGTGGATGGATGATAGATGGGGAGTGGATGGAAAGAAGGAAGGAAGGGAAGGAGGAAGGGGTGGAGGGAGGAGGGGAAGGGGAGATGATCCAGATAGGCATTTGGATCCTGACTCAGAGCCTTGGAGAAGTCTCCTCATTCTCTCCTGGTGGCTGCATCTTAAGTGACTTGATTCTGCATGTTTTGCCTTTTCAGTGACAAAATCTGTGGCTTCCCCCTCCTGCAGCTCTAAGTGCCTACCCCCAGCTACCTCACAGGACAAAGGGCTGAGCACAGCCAAGGGCATGTTCTGTGCTGTGCCAGCAGAGGAGGGGACAGGCAGGAATGTGTGAGCAGAGGCAGGCCCGGCTGAGGCTGGGCTCAGTCAGAACCCTTGGCTGATGGTCGAATCCCAAATGCTAGGGACCTGGGTCACAAATGCTCCTTCCTCCGGGTCCGTGGGTGAGTCAGAGCTGGACTCTGGTTGGACAGAAGACAAACTGAGGAGTGTATTGGAATAGACCAGAAGGTGCTCTGGTGGGCAGTTGCTGGTTCTTCCCGCCAGGGCTCCAGAGGGTAGGCCAGCTTGGGCCCTGTGTTGCAGGGACCTGCCAAGACCCCCAGACAGGGGCTTGCTGGGGCTGTGGATGGGATTTATTCCAGGTGTGGAGGAGGCCTGCGCCAACCCTGTGCTGGGCTGGGAGCTGCAGGGCCCCTGACCTGTCATTTATTCATTCGTTTGTTCGTTCCCTCATTCATTAATTCAACAATTATTTACTGAAAACCCTTCATCTGCCCCAGGCCCTGTGGGAGGTGCTGAGAGCGAGGTGGACCAGACGCACCTGGCTGCCTGGAGCCTCCATTCTGGGAGAGAGGGGGACAGGTGTGGCAAGTCCGTACTCTAAGAATGGGGTCCAAGCTGGGACGCAGCACACAGGCAAAAAGGCTCGGGGACCGACTGCCACACGCTGTGTGCCGGGGTGGGAGGTTCAGGCTGGAGAGACGCGGTGATGAGCCCAACCCCCGCGGCCTTGGGGTGGAAAGCTTCCAGGTCACTGTGACCTGAGTCCCTGGCCCCAACTGGTCTCGCTGTGCAGCCTGGCCCACCGTGCCCCAGACACTGTCCCCGAGCTCACAGAGCTGAGGTCCCCCCCTCGATTTCCCCCAGTGACGGCACAAATCCCAAGTTCATCTTCTTCACCGGGACAGTGCAGGGTGATTGGTGTTGGCTTCTTGGTAGGAAGAAACTTCCACCGAGGAGAAGCCGTTCGTGCCCGAGGC